AGACCTGTGAGATCTTTGATATAAAATTATTCACAGTATAACAGTTGTTTGATAATTGCCATTAGTGGGTTTTTTTTTTTAAGATAAATCAGAGTCAGTCACATGAAAATTGGTTGAACTGCCTTTAGAAGGAAAGACTTTGTAAACGAAGAAGCAATGTCGGTGTTAATTATGATGAGTTGTCTTTCTAGTAAGCTCAGAGTGCCAGGTGAACAATTTCTGCGAAGTCGAAGTCTTGAAGTGTGTCTACCTTGACAGCAAAAGATCTCTTAATTTATGTAAACATGCAAGCGATAATTTTCATCTCTCCATCCTATAAATCGGCATAATATTCAGTTCAGATCAACCTAAATTCTTACCAAGATAAAATCATATCAGTATTAAATCTAAGTTAAGTCAAAATATCCCGAGCCATTCTACAGCAGTAGCTTTTTGAAGTAAAAGATGGCAATGAACTCAGTACGATAGCACTGTTGAATTTGGCAATTCAGGCCAGGTGAGCAAAAATACTAGATTATATATATATTCGTTTCAGTTGTTGAACCTGTTTATGAAAGTACTTTTTGAAATGACATGACAAAAAACTAAAGAGACATTATTGCTATGTCATTACATTAAGTTAATCTTAGGTCACTTTGTCTCCACTTGAACCGCACCCAAATACCTAAACATTATTCTTTGTTACGGTTTGATTTATACCAATTTCTTAACCAATTTCCTAAAAAGTTTACCAGTAAAACTAGTTTTGAAATCACACTACTGTACCCATGTCATCTTTTAAGTTGCAAGATAAAAGCTTTCTTTCTTTTCATATTCATCTTTTAAATCGGTACTAAAATTTTAGAGAAGCAAAACAGGTTCATAGCGTTATGGATATAACCCCGAAAACATTTATATCGAAAATAAATTGCTCAACGGTACGTAATCCATACATCATCACAAAAATTTGACAGAAAAAATTATTATTTTTGGAAAATAATTTCACTTTCAAATGAGTTGAGAACATTTGGATGATAACCATAGAGAAACATCCACTACTCCTGAACACTTCTGTGATACATTGTATAAGTGATATCAATTCATCTCAATTTTTATAAGCTTTTCAACCACTTAGAATTACATTAAACTTGAAAAAATAAATCTTATATATACATGATATGTTAATAAGCCTGCTCCAGACTTAAAGTCAGCCAATTTATCTGTTAAATTCTCAGTGTGTAGCATGACTGTCATGTTTTATCATAAGCTTGTAGGGGGAGCATTACCTTCACTCAACACATAACTTGGGAGAGAATTTCTATGTTAGCCCTTGGAGTTTAATGCAGGACAAATTGTTCACAAAAATAATATCAGTACAAATAATTAAGCAGATAGGTTTTTGTCTAAAATCCACAATATGAATATTCATATCTCTCACTAAAACTTGAAAATAGCTAGCTTTAATAGTAAACTGTTAAAACTTTCAACAAATACCATGATATGCTATTACACTAGGTGTGCTATTACAATAGGTGGCCAAATTTAACGAGATGCACTAGTAATACAGCTGTCAGAAATGGTACGTTTTAACACAGCTGTAACTTTAAAAACTTTGGTAATTAAGAAGACACTGTTATGGTCTCTACATACCTTTAAATAGGCATTTGATTCCAAAAGTCTTGGAATACGAAAATTGTGTGAACTCCCCAAACCCGCCCAAACACTGACCAAAGTAATTTACTTTATTTTTTCCATCAATTTTCGCAGCTTTGATTCAAGTTAACCCCGTACGTAAGTCGTTTACGTTTGTGCAAGGCCTATTAAATTATTGAAATTAGATGGCATGTCAACAACATATAAAGTATGACCTTTGACAATTTATCTAAAAAAAAATCATGCGAAGGAACCAAATATTTTAATGTAAATCAATTTGCAGTGAAGTAGCAATTCAATGTTACAAAATCCAGGGATCTCGGACTAGCTTACCATTCAGCGTCTGAACCGGTGGACCACAGGGCCTGCTGCAGAGAAGAATCTTTTTAAAGAGAAATGGACAAAAAATGTCCCCTTACACTTTGTTCCGGGTCCGAACTCCCCAGCATCCCTTTTTCGCCAGCTCTCCCGCGATGCCTTTCAGCAGGGCAGTTTCGAAGTATAGGGGAGACAACTCAATATTCGTCATCAGCCTTAATGACTTTCGGTGATCTAGTGGGAAAATATTGGATCGGGTCTTTCTTTCTTTTCTTTCTTCATTTATTTCATATTCGTCCTCTTCCTTCATATAACCAGTTACCAAAATATGAATGATAGTTAAAAAAAAGACTGGTCATTTAATCAGAGACCAAAACATCAGTTTCTATATTAATTATACATTAAACACCAACTTTAACACATTCAAACTAATCTGAATGGATCTACAATACAGCGACTTTTTGACTTCACTATATGACCACAAAATAAAAAGTATAAAAAAGATGTAAAATCTTTCCTAAAGTCTTACCACGTCTAGAAAAGCACTTGATTTTTAATTCAATTAATGTGAGCTATTGAGTGAAACCCTCAGTACAATTTACATGGGTTATAAATGTTGAACTCTTTTCAATATCATTAACATCCTTGATGGTGACTACTCAGTCATGAGAGAAAATAAGTGCAAATGTGCAAGTTTTTCCACATGAAAGGAAAAATTAGGATATTTTTTCTTCCTGTTGAAAGAAATACAACCAGGAAAAGAAACTGATGAGAAAATTATCACTTTGTATGATATATAAGGTTGGGCGTTATAGCCATGTATGGCTATATAAGGTTGGATGTTATCACCGTGTACGGCTGATGAGGTTTGATGTTATCACCGTTTATGGTTCATGAGGTTAGATGCTATCACTGGGTAAGGTTGATGAGGTTAGGTGTTATCTCTGTGTATGGTTGATGAGGTTGGATGTTATCACTGTGTATGGTTGATGAGGTTGGATGTTATCACTGTGTATGGTTGAGGTTGGGTGTTATCACTGTGTATTGTTGATGAGGTTGGATGTTAGCATTAGGTATGGTTGATGAGGTTTGATGTTATCACTGTGTACGGTCGATAAGTTTGGATGTGATCACTGTGTATGGTTGTTGAGGTTGGATGTTATCACTGTGTATGGTTGATGAGGTTGGATATTATCACTGTGTATGGTTGATGAGGTTGGATGTTATCACTGTGTATGGTTGATGAGGTTGGATATTATCACTATGTGTGGTTGAGGTTGGATATTATCAATGTGGATGGTTGATGAGGTTGATATTATCACTGTGTATGGTTGATGAGGTTGGATGTTATCACTGTGTATGGTTGATGAGGTTGGGTGTTATCACTGTGTATGGTTGATGAGGTTGGATGTTATCACTGTGTATGGTTGATGAGGTTGGATGTTATCACTGTGAATGGTTGATGAGGTTGGATATTATCAATGTGTATGGTTGATGAGGTTGGTATTATCACTGTGTATGGTTGATGAGGTTGGATGTTATCACTGTGTATGGTTGATGAGGTTGGATATTATCACTGTGTATGGTTGATGAGGTTGGATGTTATCACTGTGTATGGTTGAGGTTGATGTTATCACTTTATATGGTTGATGAGTTTATGAATTTGAGATTTGAGAGTTTGAGATTTTCTGAAGATTGCCAATCTGAACCCATAATGGTCCAAATTGGCAATAAAAAGTGAAAGGAAAAATCTTGAACCCTTAGTATGTTCAAATTTTAGTTACTTGCACCAATTAATAATAGTGATCTGTGTTATAAGTCACATGGATGAATTTTAAAACTCTATTTCCAATCATTTCCTTTTACACTGTCTTTGATATTGTTCCACTAGGGTGTCATTGTTTCAAGTTTTTTAAGATTGTGACAAATATTTTCAGAAAACGTAAAATAAGCTACATTTAACAGATGCACAATATAACGAACACAGGAAAACTTGTCATTGTAGAATTTAAACACAATAACTCGAGACAATTTTATTGTTTGATAAATTGTGAAACTTTTATTTCATTCAAAAAATATTTTTCTTTGATAAGAATACAAAGAAACAAGTCCCTTCTTCGCATCACACACACTCACTTTCATACAACAGTGAAATCAATAACGGCACACTGGCATTTATAAACAGTATGTCAATTTCCTAATATGTATATAAGTATACATTGTATAACTCATGCAGACATATATATATATACATGTATGACCTGAATTTACAATAATGCTGGATATGATAATTTTATACAACTATGTACAGTGTAAAGATATCACAGACAGTTGGGGGTGGGGGGATTGTAAAATCAAATCTATTTATATTGAAAAAAATATCAGAATAAAGAGAATTAATTGGCAGATGTGCTGATTTTGATGAAATGTTACCAGATTAAAACTGATTTTGACAAGGCAATTGATGACACTAACAAAATTGGGACAGTTTTGGCTAATTTAGTCTCTTTTACTTTGTAAAAATGTTATTGTAAAACAGATTCTACATAACAAGGGGAGTAACTCTATAAGTTGAATTTTATAGCCATATAGTCAATGTGAAACCGAAGCAAAAAAACATAAACTTTTCATAAAATTTTGTTTTTAATGACTTTTGACTGTACTTTTTACCATCATAAGTAAAGTTTAATGTTTCACCAGAACTCAAAAGGGACAGAAAATCACAGACGACAACAATAAAAGTTAAAAACAAATAGGTGTAGACACAATTGCACATGATCAGGACACATTGTCACAGTAACAGTCAGTATGTATGTGTAAAGCTAGAAATTTTATAATTCTATCTTGGCAGATAATCAGCATGAATAATGCAACATTAAAACCTGAGTACTTTAAAAAGTTTCATAAAATTTCACACATACAGTTCTATATTATGTTAACTCAGATTTTGAATTTTGTTTATACATTTCGTTAAAAGAATAATTTCGAAGTGTTTTGAATATCCATTTCATAATAATAAAAAAGAAACACAAAAAAGAATTCATATGAAGAAGATTTTTAGATTATGTGGTATACTTTTGACTATTTACTGTCTACAAATGGGATTGTGAGTACAATGAATCAAAATTAATTATATATAGGTATTTGTGTATGTTTCGAATCTATTTCTCTGTCAGTAATCAAATAAAGATATCACTTTATATTAAGATCAAAATAATTTTCTTTGTAAAAATTGTGAAATTATCTTAAAATTATTTTCTTTGAATTTTACATACACAGCACTTTTTCTTTCACAGAAATTTCTTTAACCATGTGCAGAGATAAACTTGAGCCAAGGTTGATGGTTCCATGTCAGCATCTGAACACAGTCATATCATCCGAACAGAAATCACATTTTTTTACCAGCTCTGTGAAGACAGCCATTTCGTAATCTTTCCACAAGTTTAGATTGTTCAAGTGGTTCAACTTCGTTAAATTTTTCTGCAGTTGTATCAAAGGCCCATGCTAGATATTTGTCCATAAGAGCATTGTCTATTTCAGGGTCGGCCAGACTTAGTGCTCGCTTCAGATCATCAACAGTCACATTGCTGAAAGGTTCAAGTCATGATATTTAAATAATTTGTACATCAATGTATGGTTTTTCAGCAATTCAGAAAAACATTCACCGTTCTTTTTACGGTTCATATTTTCATTTTCACAATTTTACCGTAACCTTACCAGAAATGATACGTACACATACTTTTCACACAGTGATGGACTACATTTCTCTCTATTAATTTTTTTATATTCAATGTAATACTTCTTTTTTAATTCCTCCAAAATAACAGCAGAGCAAAATAAACAGCAAAAAAAAATGATCCAAAATAACCCTATCTATTTCAGCTTTCTGCAAACTTGCTGTAATGTAACACATAATTGATTTTATTATTGTATTGCAAACATCTTCATTAATCAAATTACTTGATTCCTGTTTATTTCATACTTATTTGCGTCCTGGTTATTTGTTTATATATCATACTTATTTGCGTCCTGGTTATTTGTTTATATATCATACTTATTGGATTCCTGTTTATTTATTTAGTTTTTTTCATACTTACTTGATTCCCGCCAGCTGTTGTTTAATATCCTCAACATAATTGAGTCGTTCTTGTTTGATGAACTTCATGAGTTCCTCCAGGAATGGCCCAGTCCTTCCCTCATCATCCTGTGGGTATTAACAAAATGTGCATATTACATACTGTAAAATATTTAATTTTTGTGGGTGATTTATTTTCATTGAATTTGAGGATACTCTTAATCAATGAATTCATACAAACATTTATAATTAGTTTTAGTAGACTTACTGAGCTATATCTATTCAGGAAATCCATGTGTCAACAAAATAGTGTTGTTTTGAAAACCCATGAAAATAGAGTCCCATGAAAATAGAGTCCCATGAAAATATGCAATTTTGCAGTATATACATCATTTATGACACAAGTAAAAAAACTGACTTGCACAATTCATTAAAAATTTCTTTCACTTTCATATGCCCATTAAATCCTAACACAAGTATGATAAACAATGTCTTCTACAGCTATTTCATAATTATCCTGGAAGTACCACACACCATGCTGCCATCTACCATCATATCATTATCTATAAAGTCAATACACCCAGTAGACCAGCCGAAACAGAGACAGTCTACACATACCATCTACTATTGTATATCTGAAACTTTTACCAAAGTTTAACCATTGCCCAGTTGTCAATATGGCAAAAATGAAATTTCAGCTAGGATAAAATGTTATACATAAGCTGAAATACATTACTATAATTTAAATCTAAGACTTGTTAATAAATGAAGTTTCCAGCAAAGGACAAAAAAAAATTAATGCAAGCGTTTCACCAGACAAAGTTTTTAATGCGACTTGGAATTTCATTTGGAGATGAAAGAAATAGTGCCATACCCTATCATTAACCTGTTTACCATTAAATCACATTTACCTCTTTAAAGAGTTCCTTATATTCAATATTCTCTTCCTTTGAGTCAAGTTCGACATCCGCTGCCTTCATGGCCACCATGAGTGTTTCGTCCTCCATGCCAGGGAAGGTTGCGCGTATGCCCTGACGTAGCTCATCCTTACTGATCTTCTCCTGGTTGCCCTTCTCCATGTCGGCATTCGTCAGATGGTTCAACAGCTCCTCAATTTTGTTCATCTGGTCGTGGTATATCTCTTCATCAATCTAAAATGTTACAAGCAGTTTGATTGGTCAACTTGAAACAAATCAAAATTTTTGATATTATCATTTCTTTTTATGAATTTAAAATGTAGTCTTCAAATGTATTACATTATGTAGTAGAAACAGATAAAACTGCTTCATTGATCTAGAATGTGAGAGCTTTTGTGTGTTGGGAATTTAATCTGATTTAAGTCTATCGACCAATGAACAGCCCAAATTATTTGAGGTGGAATTCTAGATGTAGTACTTTTGTGCCGATGACTACCTCATTTGATATAATGTGGGAGCCACACACCCATGAGTTCATGATCTCTACTTCCTGGAGACACAAGCTACCTGGATAGCTATCAAACTATACATCTCGGACTATCCTTAGGATTGCGAAATCTGACACTCTATTCTGAATTAGCTATCGTGGCGCCGACGAATGTAGTTACATGTTTATAGGGATATAATTCTTCCTGTATGAGACTTACGTTATAAGTGAGGACTCCCCAGAAAAGGCCGATAAGTTCATCGTGTGCGTATCTCTCGCAGGCATCCTGTAAGTTGTAACCCCATTCCACCTTCATCTGCGGCATAGCGAAGCGACGCTGGAGGTACAGGTCCAAAAAGTCACTCATAGCATCTCTCTGGCCATCTGTTCTCTGCAAATATGTCATTTCATGTTGCATTACAAAAATAAATAAATAAAAAATTCCAAAAAGGAAATTTGACAACTGCATATGAATAACGTTTTTCTGTTTTTTTCAGACACAATCGTTTTTTGTCACCTCAATAAATAGTTCTCATTTATTTCTGTATTTATTCTGCAAAAAACTCCGGGAAGCAGTATGTTCCTTCTTTTACAAAGTCAGAGGGTGGGCTTATCAAAGGACAATAAAATAGTATATTCATTTACAATTTATTTAAACAGCAATATAATGTACATAACATATACATACCAAGAATGGGGACCTACATAAGGTCTAGGGATGGTCTTATCACAGGGCAAAAAAAAAGTTTTTATTAGTTTTAAATGCAGCTATTGTTTAACATTTGATAACTTACCTCCGCATCATGTGCTACTTTTTCCCTCCAGATGTCTCTAATGAGCATGGAGCAGTCTCGCTTGCCGAGTCGTCTGTTGCGGACAGGGCCTTCGACTTGGAGGTATTTAGGGACAGTTGGACCAGTGCCCTACAGAAACCACAAGACAATCAGTGTAAAAGTTAATCCTATTTTTCCACATAATCAACTTTACTTTTGTATTTTATCAATTTTCTAATCTTAGTCATGTTAAAATCTAAAGGTCTAAACTGAGGTTTCTGTGTCCAAGTTTGACTGACCTGTCCATCAAAGTATTCAGCTCCTCCCAAATCTCCCGCTCCTCCAGCTGCAATCTCGGCGATGAGGACGTCTACCAACTCGTTGCTCCTCTTGCCCTTGGACAACTCCTGCCACCTGGTCATCCCTCCCTGGACGTGGTCAGCACACTTGTCCCAATCAGGTCTGCAAAAAAATACAAAATGCATAGATATGAAAGTGTCATTTCTCTTTCTCTCTGAAAGTAGATTCAATTTTTTTTTATTTTGCCGGCTGTCAACTCTCATCTAGTTGAGAAATGACTTGTATGTTGTATGGTCAGTAATTATCTACCATTATAATACTATACTGGCTTGAAACAGATTTCCTGTAACAAAGTGACTCAGAGGATTTGCAAACATATCTATAAAGGCCATTAAAGGGATCAGAGAAAATTGACCCTTATACACAGGTGTCCTTTATACTGAGGTTTAATTACTACGATTGATATTACAATGGGACCCCCAAAAAGGTATTTTTGACATAATATTAGGTGGCCAGTATTTGGCAATGTGCATCATTCTATAGATTCAAAACAAAGCCAGACCTGCTAAAAGAGGATTCTATCTTGTTCCGTGATGTCTCAAATACAGAATTTCACTCGAAATGAAAACAATATTCAACCAGTTGCTAAACTGTCTCAAAAATCATGATAAATGAAGTGTGATAACAATACAGATAGGATCAAAATTGCAATATCTCCCTCGTAATTCTGTATAGTAAGTACACATACAGTACCTGGGGGTGGAGCTGCGTTTGAGTGTCTCACACTCCATGTAGTACTCATCTCTCTGTTTGGTCACGGTCTTGTGGACATCCAACAAGGCACTGAAACAAATCTCTCATTAGTCCTGATATATACACACTGTATGTATACTGAAATCACATTTGAAATCATTTGACCATTTCATAGGGTATACTAGCTGGTAATGGTTTTTTTTTAATTTTTTTTTTTTAAATGAATCAAATTTTTGCAGTTTTTTTGAAAGCTTGAAAAAAAATATTGTTTACATAAAATCATGAAACTGGCTATGGTTGGTTTTCTCTGTCAATCTTGCTTTCTTTGGTATTTTTTCTAAATTTAAATTTGTCCTCAAAACTAGCCAAAATAGACAACCCCAAAGTGATAATTTTCACAGTAATATAAGCTCTGGATTTCAAAATTCAGGGAGTATCCAAATTCTTATCCCAGAAGCATGGTTGTTAGGGTATATTGATACTGACAGACTTTTTATTTAGCTGTGACAATAATGTAATAATATTGTTCCCTAGTATCAATATAGATGCGACTTACTCGTGTTCCTTCTGTAGTTTGAGGAAATCGTCCTGGGCTGTGGTATACAATTCCTGGAGTTTCTGTTAATAAAGCAATGCTAATTAGCATGTGTGTAAAATTACCACATATATTGTATTATCTTTAGGGGGTTATCATAACACTACCTTAACATTGTAACTGAATTAAAACATTACAACTCAACTTCTAAACAACAGTCAAAGTCTCAATCTTTTACATGTGACCCGTGATTTATCAACATTTTAAAAGGTCTAGACATTTTCCACCGAAAACAGGCAAACAATGGGACATTCCCTACATATGGCATGTTAAATTTCCCAAATTTAATAGGACAATTTAGAAAAATATGTGTCATTTGTCCCGGAACTCATAGGTAGAATAATTGTTCCATAACATAAACATAACATAACATAACATAAATAAAGATGCTGTGTACAGTTTTATATGTAAGGTAATGAAAAGGTTTAAAACTCTTTTAGTTATTCTGGAAATGACACACAATATGTAATAATTATATATTTGGTTTGCTGCTAGAATTAACAAATTTGGTGTCAAATTTAATATTTTCATCACAAATTATCACAAAAGATATAAGAGATATTCTGTTCACCTGAGGTTTTGAAATTACAGTTCATCATGCTTAGTCCATCAGTTTGGGAATTGTCCAGATCACAAATGAAAATGATGGCAAACAAATGACAAATGTTAAAAATTGAAGAAATGTAAAATGTACACCGAGAGATAATGAAGTAACTGATCACGTCCATGAAGTTGCACTGAAACGTGAACAACATGCCTAGAAGTGTGGATACTGTAAAATCTTCCATAAACCACAGCAATTCTAATTAAAAATCTTACATTGTATTTAGCCTCTAGGAGTTCAAAGTCCCTCCTGGGTATGACGTCTCCGTAATTAGCCACCATGTTGTTGAGACGCTCTGTAGCAGCTTTTTCGTCCTCTCTGGCTTTCCTGAACATCAGACAAGAGCACATTACACTATGATTGGGGTAGTCAAACCACAGACAAAAATATTTGCAATTTATCCTTAAAATTATATACCTCATCTTCACCAACTGAAATTTACTACTATCATGAATGAAAAGACTGTGACAATTTTTTTTTCACTTTAAAAATTTTAAAAGTTGACAGTTTAAACTGAAAGTTGAAAATTGAAACCTTCAGTTGCATTTATCATCCACACTTTGCACAGCTAATAAATCCTTGTAATGATTCGAAGACTGTACTTTGATATTGTAGAAAATCAATATTGATGTCTCCAGGTTTTCAGATCCGAATGATTTGCTAACTTACTTCAGAGCAATTTTCAGTGTCATCGGATCATCCTGCGCCTCGTCTGAGGCAGATTGTTTCGACATCATGTAGTCGTCCTGTTGATAGCGCAGGTCGTTGATGTCAGACACCAGCTGTTTACGTGCGTCACACTCGTCACGGTACCGATGATACTCTGCGGCGAGATCTTCCTGTAACTTAGACACCTGGGTTAATAAGTCTTTCTGCTCGTTGTTCATCTGTTGGATCACTTCTGTAAGCCGTTTTCTCTCCATCTTCAAATCGCGTATCTCTACAATGGTGGACAGATGGTTATTTAAAAATGTATCATTTGTTTTTTGTAAGAAGTCCAGGAGGCAACATTACAACTTCTGACTAATACAGAGGATGGGCTTATCACAGGATCAAAAACATGTTATTGTTATTTCTACCAAACAGTAATAGGGTGGGCTTATTACAAGACATGAGGTTATCAGTGGATAAAAACAAACACATTCAGACAATTTTGTTCTAGAGATGTTGTAGAGAATAGCATCAGTGTCTGTAATGAGTAGACTTTCATCTTAGTGAGAATTTACATAAATGTCTGCATAACTATTTTTGACCATCAAACTATGCGACAAACGTAATATATCATGACTCTTGATTTGCCTTTAAATTCTGCTGTTGTATCAAATTACATCCTCTGGTCTTGAAAAAGAAACTTATTTATCTAATAAGAACTAATGGTACCTGGTCAATTAAGATAAAAATTTATCCCTCGTTGAGTAGGCTTCTTACAGAACAGACAATGTAAAATGATTTGTTAAAAAAACTAATGAACTGTAATAGATATGGGTGGGCTTATTACCAAACATGGCCTTTATTTTTTTCAAAAATACTCCAAATTTCAGGATAAGTGATTGAAAAGCTGTTGCGTGAGTTTACCTTGTTTTTCCTCCTCTCTGATGGCCATAATCTTCTGGTCACACTGCTCAGAAACTGTCACCAACATTTGCTGAAAAAGAAAATTAAATATGTTTCAGATACACATGGATTCTGTCTACTATCCTAACTATCAACCAAAACATTACAAAGTTGGAATTTAAAGTGAAATTGAAATTTCAAAACAACAATCCTCCCTTGAATTGATCCTTGAAATACTGTAAATGTGCATATTTTTGTGGTTAACTTATTTTAGCGTGGGGTTTTTTTTGTGGTAAAATATTATTGTATTAGTTGTAGAATTTGTATGTCATTGATATATCTACTATTGTAAAAGTGCCTATTCATTTTTATATTTATAAGATAAAAATTCATATTGTACTAAAATTTGATGACACAGAAATAGAAAATTTACAGTATTATTTAAATAAAAATAGTGTTTAGTTACCAGAAGTCAACATATGATTTTTAATAACCTTTGTCATTATGCACATTACAATGTATTTTGTAGTATACTCACTTTGAGAGGGTCGAGTTCTCGGATTTGCTGTCGTTGAAAAGACAGCATCATCTCATACTCATTTTTAATGGAGGAGAGCAGGGGTTTGTAGGTCTTGAAATCTTCTATGAGATACTCAAATACTTCTCTGTGGGCCTGTGTGGAAAAAATTTTCAAAAGATAAAACACAGAAATTTCCACATCTTTTTTAACGGTAGGTCTAACTGTAGTGTCTAGTTATCAATATAGTAAACAGCCAAATGAGTTATATAAATATATAATATACCACAAGTACGCTTAATTTTCTGAAATTCAGTAACATTTATAGGATTTTTTTCCTTTTTCTCTTTCTTATTCATGGGAGTCCTGGAAGCCACCTCCAAAATTTTTTGGGAGTCCTATTGTTTCGGGTTCTCAAAATTAGATGAGTCCCAAAGGAAAAGCATGCATTCAGTATTCAAAATATTTGAGTTCCAAAATTCACTGCAATAAATGTCTATGTTTTTATATACACTTGCACAATGTTTATATTTACCTTTTTGCTACATGATCAAACTAGCATTACCAGGTGATAATTCAAAGGGCTAAAAAAAAAGTTAAAAAAAAACAATGAAATATATTTCATGATATGAACAGAACTTCCACAAAGCCTAGGCTCTAAGGCTATATACCTGTAGTCGTAGGTCATTCGGTACAACTTGTGTTACTCCTAGAGCTTTAAGTTCTGTTTTTAGGTAACCTTCCAGCTGTTCCAGGAAGCGTGGTTTTGGTATAATTTGTGGCTTTCCCATCAAATCTTCATCATATAAGACAAGATTTTTGTTCTTTGTCAGCACCAGTGTTGTACGTGGTACATTATGTCCACTAGCATGAGCCGGCCACGTATCCACTGCACCAGCTGTAGTATCGGCATAGGGCTACACAGAGAAAAGAAACATTTTAATTTCATCTTAATGAGATGTCATTGATGGATTGTCATGTTCCTTATATAAGACTGCTATACCTGACTGATTTGCTAAAGTGTATGACTGAAAGTTGACTGAAAAATCAGTATTGAATAATTTATTTTCAAAATAATATTACTTCGTAAACACATCAAAAGTTCATGCAGCCTGTTAACATTAAAAAAAAACCAGAACACTGATGAATGGTTAAAATTTAATTAGCATGAAAAAACCTTTAGAAAATATATTTTTATATGTTTATTAGAAAACAACTCTGAATCAATGAAAAATTGTTTTATTGAATTTAATTTAAAGTTTCAAATGTAAATTATTTCTATGCTTCAAAATGTTATGGTGACTGCTTTAAATTCTAACCTGTTATATTAAGTTTAACGATGGTCACACACCGAAGACTTACCTTTAATGCTTTTGGGTTTGGCAGAGGATATGTTTTGTTGTCCAATCTATAACTTGGACCTGTTAATCCATCAAATTTGGGGCCCATCCGAGGGGACATAGGCCCTATAGGCCCTCCTCTCCTTAAAAAGAGTAAGAAAAGAAAATCATTCATAAATCCAAAATGCTATGTTATGCTAAATGCTAGATAACAAATTAAAATTTATCAATATTATTATATGTAGTATTAGTTTGCAGAGTGGTACAAAATTTTTGTTTTATTTTCCTTGATTTATCATCCCATCCTTTCAGAAGGTGGTGGCTACCTAACTGAACAACATACCAAAGGCCCATTAAATGCCATCCCAAGGACACAGCCAATACAGCACAAAATGGTTGTGACCTCAGCTTCCTATAAACATGATTGTCCCAAGTAGGGATCAAACTTACAAATAACAGATCAACTGATCCACCAAGAAGTTGAAATCATTTCAAGTTAATCTAGTTTAGATTGCGTAAATGTGTACCACTGATGTTATTCAGTGTATTGAGTATCCATGAGTGTTCAGTGTTCTAATTATAATTATACATGTTTATACCAGGTCCCAGAGTTAATAATCAGACTTTGATCTCGACCCCGTCATCAGGACTTCGTGTTTAATAAAAACCAAATTGCACATGTTTGAATTTACATTATGTACTTGATGCATGAGTTTCATAAGCAATGACCGGTGTATTTAGCTGTTCAGTTACACCATAATTTGTTGGGTCAATAGGACATGTGGATTGAAAATGTTATGCACACCTCATGAAGATCAAGACATTAAAAAGAAAGGACCTTCATCGCCTTGGTACTGTACCAGTATACTGTCTTGGTAGCACATTTCATCTAGGTTGATAATCGGCATCAACACTAATCAATGGTGATGATTATGGAAATGTGTTTATTTCGATTGTCAATACCATAAACCAAGTTCCCTCTGCCTCATACACCAGACATTAGACCATAGTTATCGTTAGTAGACACTTATTGATCAATGATGTGTGATATCGACCATATATCTGCCCCTGGCAATGTCTAACGTCTGGTGTAGGATCAAGATTAACTCTGAACTGCCAGGAAAACATGACTGACAGCACTATGATTCGGTCCGCCATTTTGATTAAACATCTCATAAATCGCAAATGTTGAAACATTTTCGATAGAATGACAATTCTAGTTCGAGAAGCCATGATAATCATTGACATATCTTGACGACTTACCCCGCGAGCGGCGGTAGAGTGCGAGCCATTGCCATTTTCCCCTCCATATTGAACTAAAATGGAGGCGTTACTACGACAACAATAATCAAGTTCTGACTTCCGTAAGTCGTAAATCATAATAACTTAACATTTGCCTAAATTATTTAAAAGAAACAAATGGAAAACAAATTTTTAAAAATATTAACAGATTACAGCAAATGTTTCGGAAATTAAATGCGTTTTATAATGTGTGGATGTTGTAAAAATGCAAAAATAAACGTTACTTACTACAAGTGATTGAACACATAATACGTCTTCAACCGAACCAAATATCAACGCTGGAGGACGAGCCGTTCAACGAAAAATCGGTGTCGTTTATGAATAAAAGATGAACAGCATTTCCCTTTCCGCGCTTGTTTTTTTTCACATTTTTATGTATAAGCAAAAACATATTGGGAAGATGTAATTAAGTCATAAAATATCGAAACACACTTCAGTGTTATATATGTCTCTGACTTCAGTAAAAAAAATAAAGAACACTCGTCAAAGTCTTTTCGATCTGAGGATGAAATTTTGCGTACACGCAAAAATTAATGCGTTTTCATCGTTTGATAACTCATCATCACCTAATGAGAGCACTTTAGTTGATATTGGGCGATTTAGTAGCAAACTCGCATACACGGAGTCGGCCGTATGCAGCTCTTTCTACAGGATACCATGGGTTATGTCCCCTTATTGTTTATCGAGTCGTAGGCATGTAACCCTACGGGTAGAATGGGGTCAGTCATGGATGAGTGATTTTATCAAATAACTAATATAGGCTTAGTAGGTACCATTTTACTCGGAGAACCGGACAGACTTGGCTATATGTTGTAGTCTACACAGAGGTTACACATCTATCACATGTTGTTCGTAATAGCACGGTACGTGACATGTAGGACTTTTCGAATCTGAATCCATGATAGCGTGAATATCCATGTTCAGAATCACAAACAAATGATAACCACCTTCACTGATTATTATAAACACCAGACTGGTGCAATTCAGCTCAACAATATCTGTCGAATGAAAACAACATTCGATTATATGAGTGTCTATATATGGTCAGTTATTTCGAAGGACGCGCCTTGTGGTTTACATGGACAGGTGTAAACTACAGCCATCTCTTTCGTGGGCTAATTTCTCCTATATGATTTCACACATTAATATTGTCAATATACGAAGAAATCGTCTGATTTCAGGGGCGTATGTAAAGACACCCGTAGATTCGGTTATAACAAAGAAAACTCCGAGACTATTACTGTGGGAATACTTCTCTCCAATGCAATTACATACTACAGAGCGAATCTCGAAACCACTGAACTCGTACATTTTATTTCTCATTAAGATAGCTGTCAATAAGTCATTTTTACGTAATCCATTTGCTTGGTTGTTGCAACATCATGTACTCAATTTTGAAGCAACAAGTGCGTGATTTTTTTGGCAAGTTCAATGTAATGACATACAATGTACTAAATGCGATACTACCACTCCGACATAATTAAATATTCTTGTAATCAAGTCTTTCAGTGACAGTTTGAAATTTTCAATCACAGACGTGTCTGTTCTGTGATGTGTTTTGAAGTTGACAAAATTATATTAAGTTGTCCTCTTTTCAAAACTATTTTTTTTTTTTTTTTGTTATTTATAAAAAAAAACTCAGAATAAGAAGTCAGCAATCATCAATGCTTTATTAGGATATAACTATCATGGTGTGTACATGATAAAAATTATTATCAACCGTTCACATTTGACCAGATGACCACATTATTAAAAATTCACCAAGCACACACGAGATTGTTGGCAATGTACGTGTCCTTGAGTCTAGCTATCAAACAACGCGTTGCATTGTGGGTACAGTCAATAGACATTACATTTGACAGTAGTGGTAAAATCGTGAGACAATTTAAACATTTTATTCTGATTGTAGCTAATTATCAACGTTGTTGCGAAAAAGTTCTTATTACACAGAGCTGGTCCATCCGAGAGTGGATCGGAACCATTCATATCGATGTACGGACACATCCGGGGTCTTTTTAACTGATTGCTGATTACCCTCGTCGCCATTAGCTGCCGACACGTCGGACAGTTCCATGGTTTTCTTCACACTTTTTTCTGAACTTGCTTGTATGGAACCTTTGGCATGTTCATAAATCGGACCATGTGGTCCTAACATTTGCCTTGAAATCAAATCAGCTGGGGATTCCGATTCGTCGGGTAGCTGGCCTGGTAGCTCGACCGCAGCCCTTGGGTGGCTGTTAGATGGCGCCAGGGTGCTGGAGAATACCGATGACATGAGTCGCAATGGCCTAGATTCCACTAATGTGTCGATTACCACTTCGTCGTCTGATTGAACGTCAGTCGAATGAGTGCCAGTCCAAACGGGCTCCACGAATAATGTGGGGTCAATCTCGTAAATAATGGGTCGTTTATTCGGCCTGAAAAAGTAGTAACATCCCAACAAACATCTTCCCAACAGTGGAGCTGGGCAACCTTCTGTACCATCCAGACTGGCCACATCCGCAAGGTCCTGCGAATAAGAAAAAATCAAGGATTTCTTGTACCACAAAGCAGCTTAATCTATGTGATCTCTTTTACCTAAGTGCGCGAAATGCTTAATTATTTCCCATTGATACGACACAACATTTAATGCTTTCATTTATGAGTATATTCCCTTCAAAATTACTTAGTTCTGTCTTATTGTGAAAACCTGCAGGGAGCAATTCTGTCAACAATGAAATGTATATTTTTTGTGAAGCACAATTCAAAATAGAAATACATTTATTGATGTCGTTTCGTATTACGCTATGTCATTCAAGGTTAGGGGCCACCAACAACCAAATTTACAACACAAACATTTCTTAATGGTAGTTTATGCAGATTGTTTAATACTGATTGTAAAGACAACATACCTTTGGATCTATTGAAGAGGGGTCTACTACAATGTGGCGTCGCTGTGTCATGACGTGAATGCAATATAACCAGATCGTACAACCAAAAATCTGAAATAGAGGAACTTCATTTAATTGCATGACTATTTCCCCAACTGATAATACTCGTACGTGTTTTGTGGATCTCAAATTTCGTGGTTTCCAAGAAAAAGCGTTGATATTTTATTTTGTAGATAAACAGTATTTCCGAATTCCACTCGGGCTATCAACGACATCAACGGAACTTGAAAACCTCCACAAAAAAATAATTCGTTAGTAGTTTTTTTTTCAGTTTAAACATATTTTATTGCCAAAATAAATTTGAACAAGGGCATTGCGCACAAGTCATTACAACTTATTGGAGCTCTCTCCCATCATGCATTTTCAAATACATGCTTATAAGGATATAGGCTTAAACATAAATTATAAATATTAAGCATTCACACACAGACATAAAAATACATCATCGTATAAGAATCTTTTAAAACCTTTTACTGGATTTAATGAAATTTTGCACATGTGTAAAGACAAAATAGTTTAGGTCCTCAGAAAGATCAAAACTACCAAACAAAAGAAGCTCTAAATTCAAATCTATTTCTTATTCAGCCAGATTATGAAACAAAGTGCGTCTTTCATTTTTGAAAGTTTGACACTCAAAGGAGAAATGAATGGTATTCTCACAAGGATATCCACAGGAGAAAACTGGACTTTCGGCAAGATTTACTCGTGAAGATCGTATTTAAGGGAACTACAATTGTGTCTAAGTTTAGTATGTATTATGTTTAACTTCCGTTCACCATAACTAAAATAGACAGGTGGGGATTGTTGTGTATTTAAAGTAAGTGAAGTTTTAAACAATTTTTTTATGGAAGGCAGTGGCCGTACAGAGAAATCTAACAAGATCCAGCTACGAAGCGTTGAAGGTATAAAAGAAAGGCTTGTAAGAGAAAGCCCAAATAGAGGAACTCTATAATCATTGTTATTTCCAAGATTGTATCGGATATTATCTGCAACAATAGGTGGCAAGAGATCGTTTAAATAATCTGGAGTTAGCTTGTTATGAATTTTAAATAAAAGTTGAAGTTTTCTGCGTTTTCGACGATTCGAAAGTGTATCTAAACCAGTCTCAAAATGTAAATCTTCTATACGTGCATCAGAAGGAAGGCCAGTTATAATACGAGCAGCTTCTCTTTGGGCTTTCTCTAATTTATCTGATTCAGTATTAGTGCAACCGTCCCACAATTCACACGCATACTCTAAAATTGGTAAAATAAAAGCTTTGTGAATTTTGAAGAGACTATTTCTTTTTAACAAATATTTCAACCTTAAGACATTTATTTTCTTCATAACAGATCCCCCATTTTGTGCTGGAATTAAAATTTACCCCCAAGTGCCTATGATGATCAGTAAAATTTAAATCTTTCCCGTCTAATTTCACGTCGAAATCATCATCTATGTCAATCGAATCAGAAATAAATATTACCTCAGTTTTTTTCTGGGTTGAAAGTAACCAACCAAGTTTAAAGAATCAAGATCCCTATTTAAGACAGTTTGGATTTCAAGACATGACGAAGAAAACTTTAATAAAGAAGAATCATCCGCTAAAAGACGAGAAGATGATTCAAGGACATCGGCAATATTATTTACGTATATAAGAAACACAAGAGTTCCTCGGAACTGTATGTGTCGCCTGCATAAAGTGTCACCCAGAAATTGAACTGGATGTGCAACGATCAACCATAAAGTTGTAATACCAAATTTTCATTTCTATAACTTGAAACATAACCAAAGAAAGTCAAGATATTCCCAGAGAATTTTCTAAGTTCAAAGGGGCATAACTCAGCCAAGAAGAGTCACAGACAGCCAGGAATCATACTTAATCTGTACCCTTGCAACAAGAAGCCGTATACCAAATTTCATTTCGATAACTCAAAGTATAAGCCAAAAAAGTCCGGAAAACAATATTCCCAGGAAATTTTCTAAGTTGAAAGGGGCATGACTCTGCCAAAAAGTGTCACAGACAGCCGGGAATCGAACTTAATCTGTACCCTTGCAACAAAAAGCCATATGCCAAATTTCGTTTTGATAACTTCAAGCAT